TAATATTAATCATCTTAGGTTTTTGACATTGACATCTTTTCTAAATCTCTGCTGTGTTCATTATTCTCTACCCAGGATTCCTACTAATACAGTTTAAATTTAAGGGCATGAAGAGCCTGAACTAATGATGTAAGTAGTGGGAAATGCCCAATGCGTAGAAACAAATTTAGGACTTGTGAAAAGATAATACTTCACTGAATACTACTATGAGCTCCATTTATCCCCAGAACTACTTCCTCAAGCTGTTCATTCATTAGAAAGATAAATGTTTCTTTTCTCTTAACTGGGTAGGATGTAGCATCATTATGAATTGTGAGTAGTCAAGGCAAAACTGCAAGGTCATTCATTATTTGCATAGCTCATTTTTTACTGATTTTGCAAGTCTGAATAGCTTGCATTTGTTTGAAGTAGTAATAACTTTCTGTCATCAGTGTATCTTGTACATATTACATGGCAGCCATAAGTGTGTGTATATTTCATAAATGCATAATGTGTAGGAAGGAAGCAGTTGTGGGAGGCTCCTGGGTCAAGCTCACTATAAATCAAACTAATCACAAGCAAATGCTTCTCCTGTGATCTTTAGATGCATTTTTCAGTGCTACTGTCCAATTTTCCATAGACTTAATTGTAGCTGTATGCTTCTTTAAAAACATTGGTTTATGGTATCTCTTAAGTTGCAAGCATACCCTGCTGCACATGCTGGAACTCCCTCTAAGGTCAATATTTACTGATACTGAAACGAGGAAAACTAGAACTGTGTGCTCTCTCTCCAAGAGACTTTACTGGGCCTCCCCATTAACTGAGATAGGAGAGGATCGAATATCAATCATCTACACTTGTACTAAAACTCACTCCTAGGAACAGCTGCATTTTAGCCCTTTTATCTGAAATTATGGATTACAAGAAGTTTTCTCTTGAAAAGGAAGTCCAATCTTCAGTAAGCAGACAGAGAGATAGATAGAGAGTGAGAGAGAGCAAGAGTGTGAGTGTGTGTGTGGTGTGGGGAGGCTGTAAGGGAAAAAGGAATCAGGGGCCTTGAGCTTCCCCCATCTTATTTTGACTAGGAAAGACTCAAAGGTAAATCTTCTTCAGTCTTTCCAGAAGGGTAGCTCCTGTCACATAGTGTTTTACTGCCCTGAGAAAGAAATGACCCAGGAAAAAAGTAATTAGTACTATTTACTGAGCACCAGCAGTAAGTCGGGAACTTTGGGGGCCCTTCATCATTCCTCACTACTGTAAGGTACTTGTAGTCAGCTTTACAGGTGGGGAAACAGGGCTTCAAAGTGATTAAATGACTTGTTTACGTGCATGCGGCAAGTAAGATCCAATACCGCGCATAAGCTTTGAAGTCTGGCAACCGTGAGTTCATATTCATGCTCTGCCACTTGCCAGTTCTGTGACCTGGATTTACTTGGCCTCTCTAAGCCCCAGCGCTCCCTCTCTTTGCAAATGGGGACTATAATTCCACATGCCTCACAGAGCTGCTGAGCAGGTTAAATAAAACACCAGCGCAGCACATACCACAAAATGCACAGGAAATGCTCACTATTATTGTTCATTGTTACACTAAGCCACAAGTTCACACAGGCTGGAAGTCTACTTCAAGGACCTACAGGGCAGAGAAGACAGCTTTTCAAACTGACCAATCAGATCTCCTTTTGGTTTGTTACTTCCTTCCTTCCCTTCCTAAAGGAAGGGCAGATATCCCTCCTTCATTCGTTCTCTTCCCTCTGCTTCTCTAAGCCTCAACTTCCCCCCGCTCAGCAACAGAGATGGAATGCCACATTCAGAACCTTGGTTCGCTGCATCCCGCTTCACTGCTTACCACTGTCCAACTCTGAGATTTCCAAACTCCATTCCCACAGAACAGTGACCTTGTGTCACCACTTCCCAGGAGAGTTTTAGTGTTGCCACTGTACCAAGAGGCCAAAGGAAAAGAATCAATAGGATGATGCTGGTGAAGATGCCTTGAGCTGAGGTTGGGAAAGGACAAGAATGAAAGAAAACAAGAGAACACATGGGGGCACAAAGGA